TCAAATCGTTATATTTACATCATCGAACAGATATTCGGAATCCACCCTCTTACGGTTGAAGATATAGAAACAGAAGAAACTAGGGAAAAGTGCGAACTTTTTAAAGAGTACTATTTTATTTGTTTTCGATCATTTGATCAGGATCATTATTCTCCAACATATCTTCAGCCTGTGAGCCTTTATGTTGTGGTTATGAAAGAAGGAATCTTATCGGTATGATATATTTCTAGATTTGAATGATAATTTCAATTGTCTGGAATGCTCCGGGATTAATTACCTAACAGATAATTATATCTTCTTTATTTTCTTTTCTATCATAGTTTCACTTCCGGCCGACACCACACCCTTCTAATGTAAGACGACGAATAAGGCAACTAAAGGATTATGTTACGGTCACGCCAGGTAGGATCTGTTCAGCCTTTGTGTACAATTACAAATTTGTTATTTATTTTAGACTAATCAATTCACAAATACGTTATACAGATTGGATCAATTATGCGCTTATTGACGACATCACAGATTCTTTTGCGCCATTAATTCGTACAGTCGAGTTTGAAGTTGATTCGATTGATGAATTAGTTTTGATTCTTAAAGAATCCGAACAGACGGACATGTTACGTCGGATTGGGCATTGTCGTAAAAAAGTTTTAGGATTACTAAGGCTATTAGGGAGCAAAGCGGATGTGATGAAAGGGCTCATAAAAAGGTGTAATGAACTTCGGTGGGATGTGGTCATTAGCAATGAAATTGTTCTATATTTGGGCGATATTCAAGGCATGGTTATAGTTAGCATATGCTTGGTCATGTTCATTAATATGTAGATTACTTATGAAACTCTTTTATATTTAGATCATATCATTACTATGGTTCAAAATTTGAATCATTATGAAAAAATTCTTTCCCGTTCCCACTCTAACTATCTTGCTCAGATATCTATTGAGATGACGCAAGCAAATAACCAAATTAATGATATTTTGTCTCGTCTCACTGCTTTAGGAACCATACTAGTTCCTATGAACCTTGTTACAGGTATTGTAACTTTTTTGTAACAAAATAATAATTTTTTTTTTATTAATTTTTGTCTTGCTTTTATAGTTTTATGGGGTATGAATGTTAGCGTCCCGGGTCAGGATAAAGACAGCTTAGGATGGTTTGTCTCCATACTAATGGGATTGTTGATTTTCGCCATCGTAGGAGTCGTTGTTGCACATCGAACGGGGATCGTATAAAATTTATAGATTTTAGAATAAAAAATATAAACAAATACAAATATGAACCTTGGTCATAGCTTTTATAATTTGTGTTGATGAATTTTTTTCTAAACTTAAAAAGAATAATTTGAAACATTATAGCATAGCGAAGTTTGTTTTGATCTGACTATAATAAATTGATGCCGATTTTTTTTATATAGTTAACAAAACATTAATTGTAATTTTTAAAATTAATATACTTGAAAATGAATTTTTCGTCTAAATTATATACATCTTTATTATATTTAATAATAATGAATAAAGACATTATTATCGTACAAATTAAGTTATACTTAATAATAACTAAGGGGTTCCTCACGTTATGATTTAACTTAGTGGAACAGCTGAATCACTTCTGTAAGTACCAAATTACACCAAAACTTTCTCATTTGACTTAATTATTATTAGCAAACCCATAAAATTCAAATATTTAAGATATTAAATTTTCAATATATGTTTTTAATATCAAATAAATGAGTAGATAAAAATGTGTTAATAGAATAAAAATTGGTATATTTTAAATTTTCTAATACAAAATCCCGAAAATAAGAGGGTGGGGAACGGGCCGGGCCGGGCCCGGGCCTAATTCGGGCCCACATTTTTGGGCCCGTTAATTTTTGGGCCGGGCCCGTTTAAATATCGGGCCGGGTACGGGTTTTGTGACCAGGCCCGGTGGGCCCAACGGGCCTATTATATTATGCTACATATTGGCACTTGTAACTTTTACATTGTGCAAATGGCATAAAAAGTTTGCCGCCATTACTAAACTTTATGTGCCAGCTCTATGAAAGTTCTGGTCAATACTATTCACATAACGTGTAATTTTGA